TTTCTAAATATCTTAAGATCATCAGCAAATATACGATAATCACTATCAAAATTATATCCTATATCATTTATAAAAATAATGAAAAGAAGTGGACCCAAAACAGAGATCCCTGTGGTACACCTGAATAAAACTGAATTTAGTAGAATTTAACGAAACATAACCTTAAATATTTGTTTTGATAAAGTATGATGGTTACCTAGCAACTGAAACTCAAAATGAGTCCAAAAAATAACGTAACTATGGAAACAAACGAATAGTTGTCATGGAAACAATTAAAACTGGCGGTTTTTTTGAATTCTCTTACGATGAAACGTCATGTTGTAACCTTGACCCTCTTTATAAATTTATTTACAACGGTGTATAATAATGCGAAAAAATTCGCTTGTAGTTGAAAATGTTGGTTAATAGGTTCCTTTTAAACAATGCATGCGTCCATATTTAAATAAAAGTGTGCCTACTTATTGCGGTGATTAAGCGTGTTCATAACCGCATTTTTTCCTATGTGAATATGAACCTGTTATACTAATTATTTCGAGTATTGTTAATCGTGCAGTTCAAGGCGTAACACAAACATTTGTAATTTTTTTTTTTGTTGTGTTTTGTTTGACGTCGATGCGCAAACTCGGATTGTGCGGCGTCGCGACGTCCATCGATTTAGTGGCATGAAACGTTTGATCTGTTGCTTGATACGAATTTGGAGGGTTTGAAGTGGGTAAAATATTCAGTTGAGGATTAGTGTGTTTGGGGTGATTTAGGGGTTTGGGTGTGTTTTGTGTTGACGTCAGGTAAGAAATGGAGGAATTACGTAAGGTTGAATTGTTTTTATTTATTTTGTGGTGAATAATTTGGGTTTGGGGAAGGGATGTTTTAGTAGTTTCCTGTAATTCGTGGAATGATAAATTGTCGGTGTTGTAATTTTAGACTCGTGTGTGTGTGTGTGTGTGATGGATAGAATATACGCAGTTGGTGTCGTAAATTAGCGCGAAATGTTTTCAGATGGTAGAGGGATTTTCCATGGAAATGATTAAATTGAGCGTTTCAGGAATTAAAAATAAATTTTTGTTCAAACAATGGTTTTGTAAGCAATTTTGAGAAATGTTACGAAATTTCCACCATATTGTTGCAAACAGCTAATATTTAATGTCTGTTGTATCATAGAATTTCTAAATTATTTAATAAATGAAATGAATTTTTACTCGAGAACTACATTTTTTCTAAATGACAATATTTATTTTTATTTGTCTCGATAAATGACATAAAAACATTTATTTTTAGATTTTGGTTGCGACGTTGCCAAATTACTAACATTTCTTGCAAATTTTTGAAAACGTATACTGCGGTTCTATTTTTTTGAAACACCTTGTATTGTACGACAGCTGGTTTGTATTTCAGAGAAAACTTCGGAAAGTTTTAGTTTTAATATTTCCGTCATTTTTATTTTATACCGGGTGATCTTAAATGAGACAAAAAAAAACACTGAAATAATGGTAGGGCAAAAAAAATCCTCCAAAATTTCAGAATGTAATTTCAAAATAAATCTACCGAAATTCCAGTAATTCCAGTGATTCATTGTAATTGCATTTTATCAAATTAATTCTGACAGTTCTAAGGAAATTAACGTAATTTTTAATATGATAATTTCAAAAAGAATTCCAATAATACACAGATAATGCCAGTAATTCTAAAAAAAATCCAGCAAAATTCTAATAATTAGTAATCCATTGTAATTCCAGTGTTTTCATAATTCCAGTAATTCTAAGTTAATTTTTGTAATTACAACATAATTCCTATAAATCAAACTAGAACGGAAAGTTCTAAAAAAATCAACGTAATTTTGAAAAGACATTATCTCTAATAATTCCGAAAAGAATTCCAGTAATTTATAAATAATGTTAGTAATTTTAAAAAAATTCCACCGCAATTGTTGTAATTTCAATAATCCATGGTAATTCTATTATTTTTAGATAAATTCCTAAAATTCCAAATTAATTCCGACAGTTGTAAGAAAATCAACGTAATTTTGAAAAAACATTAAAAAATTAATTTCAGTAATTCCAAGTTAATTTTCATAATTCCAACATAATTTTTGTAATTAAATAAAACTAATTCCGGAAATTTTCAAATTTAAAGTAATTAAAAAAAAATTCCGCCGCAATTCTTGTATTTTCAATAATCCATGGTAATTCCATTGTTGTTTGATTAATTCCTAAAATTCCAAATTAATTCCTGCAATTCCAACTTAATTTACGTAATTCCAACTTTATTTTGGTAATTGTAAAATAATTCCTCTTAGTTATAAATTAATTGCTATAATTCTAAAATAATCAACGAATTTTGAAATAAAGTTCTCTACAATAATTCCTAAAAGAATTCCAGTAATTCTATAAATTCCAATAATTCATCATAATTCTATTGTTTTCAGATTAATTTCTATAATTTCGACTTAATTCAAACGTAATTTCCGTAATGCCGTAAAGAAAAAGAAGTAATTATGCCAGTAACTCCGAAATAATTCCAGTAATTCCAAACAATCCAAAAATAATTCCAAGCAATTTTGCTTAAATTCCAAAAATTTGTACAATTAATTCCCCTCGTCAAGACGTTTCAGGCGGTTTTTTTGCGAGATTTTACTAAAACAAATAAAAAACAACAAATTATGTCAAAAATTATATTATATCTTCATTTCATGAGCGTTTTAGCACGTTTTTCAGCTAGAAATGCGATTATTTTGAAAAAAAATTGATAAAAACAAGCCGAAAAATCACAGGATTACGCCGCCAAATGTCATTTTTCCAGAAAACTGCCCGATTTTTTAGTCAAAAAACACTAAAATGTTAAAAAAAACCTCTTAGGCTTTAATAACTCACTTTATGTAAAAGAAATATACCAGGTGAATACAAAGTATGGAACCAAAGGTTTTTTGCTTAAACTATTTATTTTTTGAAAAAACTAATTGATGAGTGATAAAGTACTATAAAAATGTGATGATTTAACAAGAATAAAATTTTTCGAAATTTCTTTTTGTTTTTAAGTTCTACAAAAAAAAAATTTTTTTTAAATGGCAACCCACTATAAAATGATTTTTTTCATAAAAGCTATACTCTAAGGATTACAACTATCTGCTTTATATTTAATTTTTTCACATAAATTGCAATTTTGACAAAAAAAAATCGAATAACTCAAAAACAAAACAAAATTTCGTGTTGAAAATACGATCACAATTTTTATATTACTTTAATTTATATTAATTATTATTTTCTGGAGGCAAATGATTAAAAATAAAACCGCTTGGTTCCATACTTTATATTCACCCTGTATTTGCGAACACTATTGTAATTTTTCAACTCATATCTGGTGAATTTTCTTTTTTTGAGTTGGCAACGCTGTTTAATTGAAATGTTTGTAGGGCGGCTATCCGGCCAAGCTTAAAAAGGTGCTCATCGTGACGGCCCCCTTGTGGTTCAAAGCCCCCTTCAAAATTCTGCGTCTTTTCGTTCGTGAGAAACTCCGTGAACGTGTCTACACCGTTTCAGTGGCCCAACTTTTAACCCATATACCACGAGAATCTCTACCAACACAGTTGGGCGGCTCACTCATCCTGGACCATAATGGTTGGCTTTCGTTGTGTTTGCAGTCAATGACCACTCGAGAAGAAACCTCATTGCCACAATACGGTCCGTTTTTCATTACAATTTTAACGAGAAAAATTTTAACGATGATTTTTTTTTAGATGGCAAAACGCCATCATCACCACAAAAACGCATCGAAATCGAAATCTCGTCATCGACGAATAACATAAACGAAACATGGGCCGAAGAAGGCAATTTGAATCCTCCAAGTAGTGCATCGAGTGGTTTCTCTGATGATGATTCGTTGCATGGAGATGGTGCAGCAGTTACAATGCCCCAATTGGTGGATTATGTGCGAGATAGGGGGCGTTCAGGCCTCATGCAGGAATATGCAGAGATTCGGTCGCGCCCCCCTGATGGTACTTTCAATGTTGCTAAAATGAAAAATAACTTGCCGAAAAATCGATATACGGATGTGTTGTGTTACGATCATAGTCGAGTGATTCTCTCCGAAATCGATTGTGATAAAGACAGTGATTATATACATGCGAATTTTGTCGATGGATACAAGCAAAAAAATGCGTTTATTAATACACAAGGTGAGCGATTTTATGTTTGAAAAACACAAATTAGTCCAGTCAAATAACGAAAATTCCGACAGAGCTAAATTTTGGTGGAGACTTTGGGTGGGTACACCATTAGAAATAAAGTGTCAAAAGTCCTCATCGATCCCATGTGTGCTAAAAAAGTTATTTGGGGTCAAAGGTCAAAATTTGACGTTTTTTAAATTTTTTTCGGAAACGGTAAGTTTTATCAAAAAAGCAGCCCAGACAAAAATTATCTACAAAATAGTCTTTATACTTTTTTTCTAAGAATCACCATTCCTGAGATGTACCCCAAAGAAGGGGTAAGGTACCAGGAATATAGAAAAAATTAAAAAAAATTCTATCTATAAAAATTTCAAAGTTATGATAGTTTAAATTTTGCACTTTGACTCTATTTATTTCTGTTGGAAAAATAATTTTCCAAGTTTTTTTGCTACAGGCTATTACAAGCGGAAACAAGGAAACTGTATCCTAACTTGTAACTCTGTTTAATGTTATTTGTGGCTTTTATTGACAAAATTTTTGTACCTTTACTAAATAATTATAAAAAAACATATACAAGGTCATCAGTATTATTAAATAGACATAAAAAAATGTCAAATGTCAAAAAATAAATGTCAAAAATTTTTGACAGAGAATTTTTTAAACATTTTTTCAGTACTCAGGGGACTATCCAATTACTCCATTTCAAGAAAGTGCGCGATTTTTTAAACATCCTGTATGTATTACCAAATAAATTCTTTTTAATTCTAATGGAATCGAGATATTTATAAGTTTAATGAAGTAGAAGAAAAATTTCAAGTAAGATAAGATACCAGGAACATAAAAAAAGTGTTTAAAAAATTCTCTGTCAAAAAATTTTGACATTTGTTTTTTGACATTTAACATTTTTTTATGTCTATTTAATAATACTGATGATTTTGTATACAGGGTGAATATAAAGTATGGAACCAAGCGGTTTTAGTTTTAATCATTTGCCTCCAGAAAATAATAATTAATATAAATTAAAGTAATATAAAAAAATGTGATGGTATTTTCAGAACGAAATTTTGTTTTGTTTTTGAGTTATGCGATTTTTTTTGTCAAAATTGCAATTTATGTGAAAAATTTTTTTTGAAAAAATTAAATATAAAGCAGATAGTTGTAATCCTTAGCTTTTATGAGAAAAATGATTTTATAGTGGGTTGCCATTTAAAAAAAATATTTTTTTTTGTAGAACTCAAAAACAAAAGGAAATTTCGAAAAATTTTATTCTTGTTAAATCATCACATTTTTATAGTACTTTATCACTCATCAAGGTTAAGCAAAAAACGTTTGTTCCATACTTTTTATTGACCTGGTATGTTTTCTTACAATTATTTAGTAAAGGTACAAAAGTTTTGCCAATAAAAGCCACAAATAATATTAAACAGAGTTACAGTTTAGGATACAAGTTCCTTGTTTCCGCTTCTAATAGCCTGTAGCAAAAAAACCTGGAAAATTATTTATCTTACAGAAATAAATAGGGTCGAAGTGCAAAATTTAAACTCTCATAACTTTGAAATTTTTATAGATAGAATTTTTTTTATGTTCCTGATACCTTACCCTACATGGCATTTGTTTTTGGGGCGCGAGTTCTGGCGCAATCTGTATGTGCATATGATGTAGAACGTTACTCTTTCAACTTTTAGAATCGCGATATCTCAGGAATGGTGATTCTTAGAAAAAAAGTATAAAGACCATTTTGTAGATAATTTTAAGATCTATAATTTTTGTCTGGGCTACTTTTTTGATAAAACTTACCGTTTTCGAAAAAAAATTAAAAAACGTCAAATTTTGACCTTTGATCCCGAATAACTTTTTTAGCACACATGGGATCGATGGGGACTTTTGACACTTTATTCCTAATGGTATACCCAAGACCTCCACCAAAATTTAGCTCTGTCGGAATTTTTGGTTATTTGAAATGTCTATTTTGACCGGACTAAATGTTTTGAATGTAAAATTTTAGGTCCTTTATTGAAAACAACACCGGATTTTTGGCGCATGATTTGGGAACAACATAGTCTAGTTATAGTGATGACAACACGAGTCATGGAAAGGGGGCGACCCAAGTGTCATCAATATTGGGAAACTGAGGTCGAAAGTGAAGCAATTTATGGTCAATTTACTGTCAAAACTGTATCAGTTGAAACCGATCCTGACTACACCGTCACCACTATTAATCTAATAAATAATAAAGTATGTCGAAAATCAAAAAAATTAAAATTTAAATTTGATTAATGTGAAATTCGCAGACGGATGAATCTCGAGAAGTCTCTCATTGGCAGTTCACTTCGTGGCCTGATTATGGGGTTCCCCGTTCGGCTAAAGCCATGCTCGAGTTTCTGGAACGTGTTAGAAGAAAACAGAATGCTATGGTGGTGGCATTGGGTGATACTTGGGCGGGGCATCCCCGAGGGCCTCCAATTGTGGTTCATTGTAGTGCGGGGATTGGTCGAACTGGTATGATGATACTAAAAATTAATTTTTTAATTGTCAAAATTGTGTTTTAGGGACTTTTTGTACTCTTGATATTTGTATATCTCGTTTAGAGGATTTGGGAACGGCGGATATTCGAGGAACGGTTGAACGAATCCGATCACAACGTGCATATTCCATCCAAATGCCTGATCAGTACATATTTTGTCATCTTGCTTTGATTGAATATGCCCTCATGAAAGGGCATTTACAATCGGCTGATTTAGCAGGTTTTGATCCGGGGGCGGATGACGATTCTGATTAAATTTTAGTTGATTCTTTCGAAATTTTACATATCTTGATTCGTTTTCTGAAATAAAACCGATCTTGTAATATGACAAAAAATGGGACAGATTCTAACCTCACTCATTTTGACGTTTTTGAAATGTCAAATTTGACGTTAAAGCCTGTTTCACAGTGAAAGTGTCAACTGATGTCCCATTTTTAGAGTGAAATATTACAAGTTTATTTTTATAATAATCCTAAATGAATGTTGGATGTACCTATACTCTGTTTCATATTAATGTGCATCGAAGTCTAAATGAATCTTTAATTTAAAGGCCGATTTACACAAAGTGTCATTATTGTCATTCAGAACAAATTTAATCACATCAATAATGACAATCTTTATGTTTGCTATCCTATGTTAATGTCGTTAGTAATTTAAATTATTTTTTGCTTCCTGGGGACACATTTGTTTGAAAAAGGGAAGATTGAGGTTAGGATTGTTATGCACATTAATATGAAAACGAGTCTACATTTCTTTTTGAAGAATTTAACGCTTCCTTAAATATTTCAAACTAGGCTAATGAAATCAAGAAAAATCTTGATCTTTACATATAAAGACTGTCCAATTGATTCTGAAGAAAATTATTTATTTGCAAAGCTATTAGGAAAACCCCAATTTGTGTTATAGACTCAGTTTTACCAAAATAACTTCCATTCAAGAGATTACAAGCCAAAATGTTAGTGTTTAAGTGGGTCAATCCCTCTAATATTTTTTTGTACTAAGTATTATGATTATTGTGACATAGTTGAATTGTATTGTAAATATTGTATTCTGATTTCTTAATACAAAAAAAATGCTTTTTATTTGTTTCTCACATTTATTACACACTACACCAACAAAACGATATAAAATTATCAACAGGTAGTAAATAATCAACAACAAAAATTCCTAAAGCTTTGATTTAAGTGTGATGGCTTGCTGTTTCAGATGTCTCCTTAGAATCTTCCCTGAGGGATTCCTCGGAATCGCATCAATGAAAACAACCCCACCTCTTAATTGTTTTTGTGACGAAACATTATCTACAAAAAATTGATGAAACAAAATGAAGAGAGAATGAATTAATTACCGGCAACGAATTTTTCCAATTCTTTTTCACTCGTTTCATGACCTGGTTTTTTCACAACAAAGGCCAAAGGTAATTCCCCGGCCCTTTCATCAGGTAAGCCGATAACAGCGGCATCTGCCACCGCCGGATGTGTAATTAATAACGCTTCAAGTTCGGCAGGGGCCACTTGATAGCCTTTATATTTAATAAGTTCTTTAATTCTATCAACAATAAAAAAATAGCCTTCATTATCGTAGTAAGCCACGTCGCCTGTATGTATCCAGCCGTCTTGATCGATCGTGTTGGCTGTGGCGACAGGGTCGCCAACATAACCCTTCATAATCAACGGCCCTTTAAAACACACTTCGCCTTCTTTGTACGGCCCTACGGCCCTTCCATTCTCATCAATGACTTTTACCATCATCCCTGGAACGATTTTACCAACTGAACCGACTTTAGTTTTCCCTAAAGGACTGACTAAAATCCCTAAAGTAGTTTCAGTCATTCCATAACCTTGAGAAACATGGCCCACTTTAAATCGTTCTTTCAATTCACGTTCCATGTCTTTGCCCATGGGGGCCGCCCCGGTCCGGATTTCTTTAACCCCAGATAAATCATACTGTTTAGTAAGTGGGTGTTTCAGGAGTACCAACATGACCGGTGGTGGTACCACAAGTCGCGAAATTTTGTACTTGATAATAGCATCAAGGAAAATTTTTGTTTTGAAACGACTCAAAACCACCATTTTTTTACCACGAAGTAGATTCAAAAACATCAACATGAAACCCATGGAGTGGAAAAAGGGCGCGAGACCCATTATAGCGTCACTGGGGTCTTCGTTTTCGATTATTTGCGCCATGGTAACCCTATTAAAAATGTGGTGAAACTATTTAAAATCAATAGAAAAATCACCTCATTATATCGACATAGATGGTCATGCTTTCATGGGTGCACATCACTCCTTTTGGTAAACCGGTAGTCCCCGAAGACATTAAAATCGTAGCAACGGCTTCTGTGGGATTCACAGGAGTGGCTTCAAAACTTTCGTCAATGTTATCAGGAGTGGCACCTAATTTTTTAATTTAATTTCTTTCATCTCAAACTACTTTAATACCTCTGATAATATCCTCGTGCATTGTCACATAATTTTCGTTTAATTTTCGCGCCCCGAATAAAACTAAATGTGTCAAATTTGGGTGATGGGCAAACACTTGAGTCATGTTTTTGATGGTTTGTGGTGAACAAAAAACCACTCGTGGTTTTGACAGTTTGAGAACATGGTTTAGTTCACCTGAGGAATTTCTTGATAAAGTTTATCACTTATCAAAGTTCAACTACTCACCTGGAGTATATTCAGGGTTTAAAGGGGCAAAAACAGCACCGATAAAAAACGTGGCTACTGTTACAACGGCAAATTCTAATCGATTTTCGCTATTTACCGAAATTGAATCTCCTTCTTTGACTCCGATACTTTTTAACCATTTTGCTACTTGTATGGAACGACTTAATAATAAATTTGCTGGCAATTCTTCATCAGTTGCGGCGTCAACCTACACCATTTTTTTACACAAGAGTCGCAATAAAAATCTTACTTACTTGTACAATATTATCACAGTGTGTTTTCAGTAAAAGTAGTAATAATTCACCTAAGGAACCTTCAATGAAACGCTCCACTTCAGGCCCTACTATCACATTAGCCTCGGTTTCAGCCATTTCTTGAAAAACTGAAACAAGTGTGAAACAATAATCAAAGTACGAGGAGTTTTATTATTACTTTTAGATTTTTTTATTGTCTTGACGTACTTGTAGATAAGTAGATATGCTAATAGGAAAAATATGCTTACAATAGATTTTTGAATTACAATTTTTTAATAAATTTTACGACTGTAGTAACATGTAATCAAATGAAATAATGTGTATGAGAATACGATAATGTGTAATAATGAATTAAAATCAAATAAAATTTAATTGAAGAAAAGCAAAAATGACTCACTGCGAGACTACCGGAATCCCCCGCCTGACATAACTTTTGAATAGGTTATGTGAACGTCAATAAAGTCATACGATTCTCTCAACCAATCATGTAATACTAGACAAAGACAGTAGCTTGGAAAATTCAACGTGTTAGAAAAAAACACAAGATACGGAGGAGTAGGGCGTGGTTTAGCCGTTTTGCCAAATCTAGTGATTTTTGGTATTTTTTTCTGGTATTTTTTTATAATAAATAAAAAATTACAAAATTAAGTCGAAATTGATATTATTTTTTAGCTTGTTTAAATTCTACTTGAACCAGAGGCTCATTTATTTTGCAAAATCCTATCCAAACACGGGCAAAATTTGGTCGAAAACGAATTATTTTGTAAAATTTTGTTAAAAAAAGCCACAAGTCGCAGAATTAGTCCGACAACAATGTCATTTGTGTGAATTTAAGCGGATTTGCTAATTATTTTGAATTTATTTGGGAACTTTAGTTTTTTAAGATGGCGATAGTGGTTTTGTAACTTAGCGCCCTCTATCAAGTGTAAACAAGTCAAGTTTAACCTGCTAATTTTTCCAAAAAAACGCATTTATTTATTAAAAACCCCACGATGGCATCCGTGGATGTCGTAATTGAGGAGAAAAAAGACGATGCTGTGGACCGCCAAAAGGTACAATTCCATAACCTCAATTTTTCTTTGAAATTTTTTTTTCAGGTTTGTCCGTTTCTTTTACGTGTTTTTGTCTCATCGAATGGTTACCATCACAAACCCACCGATTATAATAAAGGAAATACGCCTCAGAATGAGTTACAAATCTATACTTGGAGAGATGCAACTCTTCACGAAATGACACAACTTGTGAAAGAAGTGAATCCTGAAGCTAGGAGAAAAGGGACAAAGTTTAGTTTTTCGCTCGTTTTTCCCGATATGAGAGTCCCGATTTATCGTATGAGGGAAATTGGCACGACCACAACTGGGATTAAAGGACCAGATGATTTGAAAACTTTAAGTCAAGCCAGATTTGCGATTGGGGATTATATGGATATTGCAATCACTCCGGCGGATTCATGGAACACAGGGGGGCGCAAGGGGTACTCCCAAAACTATAACAATCATCGTCAAAGACCATACTAGTTGTAATTTTAAATAAAACAAATCTGTATTTTTTATGGCATTAAATTTAACACTACTACACAGGCCCAGGCCCAGGCCTGAATTGTGGTTTCCTGGGTTGAATTTGTTGTCTCTCTGGGGGTAAATCTTCATCTTCTTCAGGTTGGTCACACTTGTTACCCGTTTCGTACGAGTATTCTCTCCGGACACCATCAGGATCAATATAACCGTATTTCCCCCGAGTCACACAATCAATCCCCAACGTTTCTTCCTTAAAAGTCCCATCTTCATTCTCATACCCCCATGTTATACTACCATCAGCATTATCAGTCCTGTATTTTCGCAAAATTTGAACGGGGGGTTTACGCGTTCTTTGCCGGCCCCCCTCCTCGTCGAGGTATTGCGAGGGTTGCCGGGCAGGGTGATGGCCTCGAGTGGGGGGCTGTCGGACCGGTTGAGGGGGCGCTTGTTGACGCACCTGAAATTTCCAATCAATTTCGTTTTTGCTTGAATTGAAAGTCACCTGAGTGTGTCTCACGGGGGGCTGTGGCTCCCTCAGTAACGGTCGTGGGACATTCTGTCTCAAAACTGGCGTTTGGGGCACATTCTCGCGGATGTCTTGTCTCAAAACAGGGAGGGGTCTCTCCGGGCGGAAATGCACCGGACGTGGGGGCTGCTCCTCCTCCGGTTGGGCTACGGCTTGCCCCACGGCCGATTGGAGCACCGAAATCCCCAATTTGTTCACTTCATCGTCAAAATTACTGTTATTTGAGACGTTTTCCTCCTCCGGTTCTTCGACTACGGGACGGACGGGGGCTGCGTTAGGGCTCGGCGGGGGGCGTCGCAACCGGGGCGGAGGACCCTCATTTTGGGGCCTTTGCTGGCGGAAGGGCGCCGGCCTGCCTTGGGACACCAAAACGGCCCCAGGTATGTTTAGTCGAGGGGGGAGTTGACCGGAACTTAATGTAATCTATAATTAATTTTTTTAAAGAAAGTGGAGCTGCTTTAAAATTCAAATTAGTTATATAAGAAAACATGTAACCACAGGTTTATTCCAAAAGAAAGGTGTGTTAAGACCGAAATTGTTGAGTAAAAGTGCGAGCAAGGTTGAAATTTCTAACGCAAAGAATACTGTTATGCCAAGGATGATTAGTGCCTAGAGCTGGCAATTCAATATGGAATTAAAAAAAAAAATTAAATGGCCTAGAAATAGTTTCATTTACCCTTTTTCACGCCCTAAACGAGTCGCTAATGCCTATAATTACCATAGAAACGTACTTAAGTATATACGTAACTATGGTAACAAACGAAAATTTTGTCTAGTTGCCATAGAAACGTATTAAACCAAGGTAACAAAAATAAAAAACCAGTGGCGGGTGAAAAATTTCTTTCAACTTACGAAAAAAAGTAAGCACGTAACACACGCCGAAATGGTCATTTTTTTAAACTTGTCTTGTTGACTTATCACAACTGAAACTTGGTGCAAGGCAGTAAGAGTTATATATAAGCCGCGCCCCTCTGTGCATTCTCGTCTTGTGGCCAAGCCCAATTGCAGACTGATTCACTTTCACACTCATGAAAAATGAAGTATTTTGAGAGATAAAAAAAATTAATAGTGTGATAGGGGAAAATTTGTATTCCGTAACTGTCAATAGCTTTTTCTTGCATTGTTTTTTAGCCGCCACCGCAGAATAATAAAAGAACGAATTTAAAGCGAAAAGGGAAAGTGCATGCAAATTTGAATTTCGCACGTGTTGGTACGACCGTCAGATCCGAATTTTTCTCTCAAAGGTCAAGAGTTAAATAAACTGTGTCACATATTACCGGTTTTCCGAAAGTTCGTTCGCTTCGAAAGATGTAAGACTTGTAAACAATAAATAATTCATTAATTAATTACGTTGTAATTGCGGTTTATGTAATTTGTTTATAAATATTATAATCGGGGGAGTTGACACTTTTCGGAGATTATTTCCGCTTTCATTGCTCGAATAGAGTATTTGAGATAATCTTCATATAAATGCTCTTGTGAACAGCAGTAATTTGCTTGAACTTACGAATTATGAAGCGAATAAGTCAACAAAAAATTCAGGGGAAGTGTCTTGAATGTATTTATGCACTAGTTGGGAATTTCTCCGGTTTAAGGTTCCAGACCCCCTGAAAGCTGGCGTATACCTATTACATGTACAGGGTGTTGCATTTTGGATGTCCGAATAGGGAATCTCCGAAACTAAGAGGTTTAGCCAAAAACGAGTAATACATTCTGGGGCTCATTTTTTGAGAAAATAATATTGGTTAAAACCGCATCCCGCTATCGTCTTTTGTTTTCGACTTATAGACAAAAATTGACATTGTAGTGAAATTAAAAAAAAATCATATCTTCGTTATTATAGAAGACACAGATTTGAAATAAAGACATTATAGAGGCACTTTTTTACGTAGAATTTAATAATGTAGTTAACATTTTTTTTCAGTTGTTTGTTTAGCCGTAATAAGATAAACTTGTATTTTTTTAAATGGGAATCATAGATGGCTATGTCATTTTTAAAAAGCTTGTTTTTTTCTTATCTAAAAAATATATATTGGTAACAAATTATTATAATACATTTTTAGCAAAAAATTATCTTTGATTTTTGTTCGCAGGGCCATGAAAAAATGTTGCATCTTCAACTAAAAGGATTTAAACTATRTTATATTCAASCAGTGTCACTAATGAAAGAGTTTTCTAAGTACTAAGTGATGAAAAAGATGCAAAATAAATTGTAAATCAACTTATTGGCGACTAATAACATTTCTTTGTTTTTAAACAAGCTAACATTACCATTGCAACTTTTAGTGATACATAGAGTGTTGTAAAAAAAGCCGCTTTAATTCTTCAATAAAATATATTTTATATGACACAAAAATGACGATATGGCTATTCAAATACCCAAATTCCGTCTATGTCAAAAGTTATTCTACCTCCATTAGATCATCAAAAAAATGTTTTTTGTAATTTTGTTGACTGTTGACACATTTGTTTTTCCTATTTTCGGATTTTTTAAAAATATGTAATAATTTCGTTCTGAGGCGCTCGAATATTTGTTTAATGCTTCTACCGTATCATATTTTTTAAATCTTTATAATTTTATATATTTTTTTCATCTATTTTACAGTTTACAAAACTATTATTGATTATTATTTACCTACACATTTGGAGTGAAATAGTTTTTCCATGGCCAACTATTATCACACAAAATATGTATTTCACTTTTTAAGTATAGTTATAAAAAAATATTTTGATACAAATATATATTTTTTAGATCAGAAAAAAATAAGCTTTTCAAAATTGCCATAGCCGCCTATGATTTCCATTTAAAAAAATACAAGTTTATCTTATTACGGCTAAACTAATAACTGAAAAAAATTGTTAACTACATTATTAAATTCCTCGTAAAAAAGTGCCTGTATAATGTCTTTATTTCAAATCCGTATCTTCTATAATAACGAAGATATAATTTTTTTTAGATTTCACCAAAATGTCAACTTTTGTCTGTAAGTCGAAAACAAAAGACGATAGCGGGATTCGGTTTTAGCCAATATTATTTTCTCAAAAAATGAGCCCCAGAATGAATGAGACGGATTAAAAAGCAAAAATTTCTAAGTACACGTTTTTATTTTAAATTGAAATGAGAGATCCTAATTAAACATAAAAAAATACAAATTAACTCACAAAAGTAACAAAAAATAAAATAATGTTTTAATACTTTTTATTGTTACAAATTTAAACAGGAGATAGAATATTCATTTTTAAAACAAAAATTTTCTATGAACATATATCGAAAAATGATACGCAAGGGGTCTTTTAATAGTTTTTTTTCCATATTTCCGAAATCATTTTAGAAAAAAATTTCAAAGTTTGGTAGGTACAGATGATAACTTTTATACACCTAAACATGTACAAAAATAAAATGTTGAAATTTTTAATTAGGGGCTTCCTAAACTATATAGAATTAGGGTAAAAATTTACTCTAACTATATTGAATGTGGTTTCTTGCCACTTTCAGCAACAAAATTTCATAGTTTTTCATAAAAAAGGTCTTTTGTGTTTTTACGATACAATTTACGGATTTTTAGTAAAAATCGGTTTAAAAATTTATGTTACTGACCACAAACAGCATAAAAATTAAAAAATAACTTTGTTTTACCGTTTAGGTAAAAATTTTGTTATTTGGCATTTGTTTAGGTGTACATATAAAGGTACCAAATTTTGTAATTGTATCTATTCTGAAAAATTAGGAAAAACCCTTTAAAACCGTACCTTTTTTAGGGGGTGTAGCACCTTTCATAGCATATTTTGTTTTAAAATTAAATATTTTATCAACTATTTAAATTTGTACCTAACAATAAAAATGAAACACTGTATAATTAACACATGAAAAATTAATTCACAAAAATTTAAAATTAACTCACTAAAATAACAAAAAAACTAAATTTTTAACACTTATAACACTATATAACAAAGTGCTCAGCATTTCAGGGGTTGGGTTTGAACCCCCTAATCCCCCCCCTTGGGTACGGCCCTGTTGATAACTGTTCTTGATTCTTTAATATAAAGCAAAGTAAAGCAAAAATTAAATTGAAAGTAGGCAACTTTTAATACACATTTCAACAACTTCGGAACTACCTGGAGTATGATGTACAACCGAGCCGGAGCAAAACTAATCGTTTTATTGCGTTTGTTCACCCTTCAAAAAGAGAATTGTTAGTTTATTTCAAAACTTCAATTTTTTAATTTGATTAAGAGTTTCATTTTTATTTAGTAAAGTGTCAATCGAGACTTTTTAAAACATCGTCCTACAAAAGAGGCTATCAGATTTTGTCAAAATTTATAGAGGAGGCTCGCGGCTTTGCCGCTCTTCTAAACCTCACACACATTTTGTCAAAAATTTCAAGTTGAAAATTATGTATTTTTTAAGAAGAAAATTGACCTGTTCAGGCATGTTTGTCAAAACAAAATATTTTCAGTTGTAATAAGACTATTCCATAATTTTGCCGCTCATCTACTTTATATGTTTTATTCACATTTTATCGATAAAAAATTTCATATAAGTTACCATTTTAAAACATTGCAAAACTCAAAAACAGAGCACTTTAATTTTTATTATCATTTTCCAAGGCAAATACTAAAAAAGCTTGGTTCCACAAGTACTTTTTGTTTACCTTATACATAATAAACAAATAAATTTATTGAAATAGAGGAAAAATTTTGTAACTTTCATTTTACACCGAGCAAATTAAAACTTTTTCTTTTGATTTTGGACTTATTTCTGCTTTTTGCGTCCTATCACATTGGCGGTTTTATTTGTTGCTATTTTTTTATTTAACTTGCAAAAACTCATTTGTCAAAGTGACATTATTGTCAAAAAAATAAAATCGCCAATGTGATGGGATTTAAAAAGCGGAAATTATTTCAAGTCCAAAATCAAGAGAAAAGTTAACTTCTTTCTAATAATAATTGCGAGATGAGTGTTGGGATTTTAACCGAAATTTATTTATATTTGCATAATTTCGTTTAATTTATCTCGTCGTGTTAATTGGAATATCCGGAGGATCAATAAATGCATTATTATGCAATAAAAGCCTCGAGGGCGATTCAATTTTATGCAAAAGTTTATTAATAAACTTGTTTATTATGCAATCTTCAAACAGTGCTGTTTAGAGAGTTTCCTATCGATTTTTTTTTAAAGTGCAAAATGTGAACTAGTAGTCCCAGCCCTAGATTTAGTCTGTAAGCCAGGAATGATGAAGAAGAATGATACACCAGGGATGAATAAGAGAAGACCCGTGTGCGTGTAAAGTGCTTCATCTTATCTCCTAGACTTGGACGTCGTTACCTGGAACATTTGTGTACTTGTTATTGCAATTTAAAGGCTTTAGAAACTCTTAATAATCGTCAAATTGGTGGATGCGCCGGGCATTTTTTTTTTTACAAAATCAGCAAAAAAAGTCTAAATTGACAGTATTTTTGCTATTTTTTAACAAGAAACCTGTTTATTATCAAAGATTTCATTAAGAAAAATTAAAAAAATATTGAAATGACGATATTTTTGCTTCTTCCAAAGGACTCACTTAGTTTGTGAGATAGAATTTTTTTATTTTGCTTTTCTTCAATCAAGCCCAAATTAGTATGTGTTCGATCGATTTAGATTCTTTTTAACTATACAGGGTGTTAAAAAAAGATTGTGAAATATTTCAGTACTAAAAATAAACAATTTAGTAATTTTTTTGCTCATTTTTTTACTAATTTTTGTAAAACAAAAATCCTGACACTGGACTTTTTTGATATAAATTGAAGAAAAGTAGGTATATTTTTAGCTAAAAATTTGCTAAGAACAGGCTAAAACAACGTTAATGTTGAGTTAATTCGTTGATTTTTTTTATTCATTTTTGACAAAAGTCAAAAGCTGAGTTGTTTAAAAAGACAATAACAACATATTTTTCGATTTAAATCAATGATTTTGTTGGCTTGTTTTGACTAAATCTCCCAGGATTGTGGGACAAAAATGAGCTAAATCCA